ATATGGGAAGGAATTCACCTCCTTCACCCTTTAGATTAATATTTCCAGGGACTCCCTTATAAGAATTTGGGGAACCCTTTAGAATTTCAAAATAGGTAGCAATACAAAATATAAAAAATAGACCCACCTTTGTTAGAGTCTATATCCAATTCAAAATAACTCCTCCCTACCTGATGAAATTCCTTATCTCCATCTTTTGCAGACGCACAACACGCTAAATTTTGTAAGATTGGGATCCTTGCTCATATGGTATCTTTGGCTCTTCTCCTTCATCAATTAATTACGGCCCCCAAAACCACCCCAACAAACAACCAACCAAACATGCCTTTTGTCTAGAAAGAGAGCAGTGTTGAGAGAAAGGAAACCAAGAGTGCACCTGTCATATAGTTACACAGCATTCCTTACCTCAAGCCACTTTCAAATAGACACGATCTACCCAGCGTTCAAATTTTTGGAGGGGGGGCAGCTCCCCCCCCTGGAACCTATTGGGTTCCGCCCATGCTTCAATCCTTTTAGTTGGAGTCATTTGGGTTTAGATTGGACCGATTTTGGTGTCCTTGAGTTCGTCTATTTGAGAGGTTCAATTTGACTATAAATTAGTTAAAATCAAAATTCATATGATCAAAATTTAATTTTAAAAGTTTCCAACAAGTAAATACCTTTTGATACGTGCCTGATCAATATAGTTTTTTTGTGATGCATCAAACATCAAATACATTTAATTTGCATTCAATTAAACTACTCCTTTATTTTAATTATTTTATATTTTAAAATTAAAATATTAAAAAAATCACATCAACCAATTCCAATAAGAACTTGGAAACTCTTCTTTGGAATTTTCTTCCTCGCTTATTTATTTATTTTAGTTGTTATGGTAAGCCATGTTAGGAAACTACACTGTAGCTTCATCCGTCTTTCTCACTTGTTATCCCTTTGCTGATAAATTATTAATGTGGATGTGACTTTACATTCCGATTCTAATAAAACCATGACACATAAAATTTATTTGTAAATTTTACATTGTATATTGACTGTATATTACAGGTGAGAAATTAGGATACGAAGATATATAGTTAATACATAATCAATACAAAGAAAAAATAGAATTTAAAAATACATAATCAATACACAATTAATATATAATTAATGTACTATATAAAATTCACATATAAATTTTATACCATCCGGAGCGAATCAGAGCACGCCAAGTCAACCCTTTGCTGTGTAACTGCTGTATCAGATGGCGTAGCGCGCTTTGATTCGCCTCTGAATAGTCTGGTATCCGCACAGAATAATTTCTGCCAAAGCAAAGATCATTACATACGGAATCTGGATTTAATTTTTGTTTCGGACTACAATATATGACTCTTTCTATTGGCGTAGCGCGCTTTGATTCGCCTCTGAATAGTCTGGTATCCGCACAGAATAATTTCTGCCAAAGCAAAGATCATTACATACGGAATCTGGATTTAATTTTTGTTTCGGACTACAATATATGACTCTTTCTATTGTACAACCTATGTACCGCATCTAAACTCCGTAATAATAGAATTATCATTGTTGCGTCCTGGAATATTTGCGGCGGTAGAGAAATATATGGTTTCCGCATCTAAACTCCGTAATAATAGAATTATCATATTATCACTAATTTTTATTTTTAATTATAGTGAGACTTAATTGGTGCTAATTAAGATTTATGGGATTATATTAAAGAGTCTTCATCAGTCTCACATAATTCAAATGAATTGATGACTTTATGGGCTCCAAAAATTTGGCCCCGTCCTCCCCATCGTCTGGGGTATTTAATGGATTAAGTTCCGGGATAAATTTTGGTAAGGCAAATTAGGTTTGTAGATGAGACACTACCTATAAATTTTGCCCTCATTTTGGAGGATTTTATGATCTAATTTCTGGTTTCTTATAGGGGTAAGTCCATATAGTTAATTACCCCTCCCGATAGTAAGAGAGAACTTTCGAGTGTCCAAATTTGAGACACTTCCCATTTATTGTTAGTGCTTTTTAATTTAGTTAAATAATTAAAATATAAGATGATTATTTTGTTGTTAATTTTTAATCTTACTGGAGTGAGCTTAGATTAGACTAAGTATATTTTGGTGTCCTTAAAATTGAGAGAGAAATTAAAGTAAAAAAAATAAAAATAAAAATAAATTTTTATCTGTATGATTACCTCTATTGGGCTTGTATATATTTGTTATTTTAGAATTATTATTACTCAATGTTTAAAATAAAAGAGAATATCTTATCATTAATATTATAAAATTCTTTCAGATCTTTTGTTGTAAAGTTGTCATATGTCCTAAAGACTCAGAATTAATTTGAAATTAATCAATGATAATTATAAATTAGTTTTTTAGTTTTTGATCATTTTTAAAATTTTAAATAATAAAAATTATAAAAATGATCATATTGTCGCTAATTTTTATTTTTAATTGTAGTAAGATTTAATTGGGGCTAATCAAGATTTATAATCATATATTAGCTTATAGAGTCTTCATCAGTGTCACTAAAGTAAAATGAATTGATACTTAAAAAAAATAATTAATTACAATGTGAAATGATTTAATTACAGTCCACAAGCATCATTAATTGTCATCAATCACAATGAAGCAAACTTGCAAAGCCACCTTCAATTAGTGCGAGGATATATTCTTGCTTTCTAGTTTCTCCCCATCTCCCTCAACTTTCTTCTTTTCTCTCTGCTCTCCCCTTGTTGAATTGTTCTGATCTTCCTTGTCCGGCGCCATGGCAGAATGGTTTGGTGCTCCAATCATAGAGAAGCTCATCAACACTGGCTTTCAGTACCTGGGAGATCAAGCCAGATGGCAGACAGGCATGAAGGAGGAGCTCGAAAGGCTGCGAGAGAGCCACCCCAAGATCCAAGCTGTGGTGGACTTTACTTCCAGCCAAGAGCAGATCAGAGACCGAAATCCGGCTCTCAACGAATGGCTATGGCAGCTACGAGATGCTATCGATGAGGCAGATGACGTGTTGGATGACCTCGAGTACATGAAGCTTGAAAAACAGCTGACCAAGAACAAAAAGCTGAGAAAGGTGCGTTCCATCATGAAATCCATTAATAAAAGACTTGTCAAATTTGCCAAACGTGCTCTCAAAATTGATCCCAACTTGAAGAAACTGAAGGCGGTTGTGCAGAAACTTAATAGAGTTTCTACTAATGTTGATACTTTCCTTTATCTTGTAAGAGACTTAAAGCAGGAGCATCAGGAGCAACAGCTTAAGCGTGAAACAGGATCCTTGCCTACAAATGATCTCATCGGGCGAGACGACCAGAAGGACTTTGTTATGCAGTGGTTGAGGAAGCCATCAAATGAGGAACATACAGCTCTTGTTAATGGAACTGATTTGTACAGAAACATTTCTCTTCTATCTATAGTGGGCCATGGTGGTATGGGAAAGACAACTCTTTTGCAACACGTCTATGAAGATGAAATGAGGAAGGAATTTTTTGATCTTAAAATGTGGGTTTGCGTTTCCAACAACTTTGATGTGAAAAAAGTCATTGCAGATATGTTATCAACTCTTAAGAAGAAGAGGCCTCGTTTAGACGAATCACTTGATGCACTTCAAAATAGTCTTAGGACTGAGACTATGTCCAAGAAGTTCTTACTTATTCTGGATGACATTTGGGAGGAGGAGGAGAACCAGGATATCAGCAAATGGGAGAAGGTGCTCGCCCCTCTGGCTTATGGGAAAATTGGTAGTGGGATTTTGGTAACAACTCGAATGGACTCAGTTGCAACTATGATTGCAAAGGTCATTAAAAAGGAGAAGGAAACGTTCAAATTACAGGGCTTGGAGGAAGATCAGTGCTTGCAGCTCCTCAACTCTCATGCATTTGCTGATGTGGAGAATCCTAATGATTATAAAAGATTAAGATTCATTGCTGGAGAGATAGTTAAAAAGCTTTCAGGATCTCCATTGGCTGCAAAGGTCATCGGTGGTGTTTTGAATTCTAGCTTGGATGAAAGACATTGGACAAAAGTTTTAAATAGTGATTTTGTAAGTCCAAAATTGGGTCAGGGTGATATCTTTCTCATTTTAAGATTGAGCTATATGTTCCTCCCTAAGCATCTACAAAATTGTTTCGCATTTTGTTCTATATTTCCACAAGATTATAGGTTTTATAAAGATGATTTAGTCAAAATGTGGATTGCATTGGGTTTCATTCAACAACCTCATGATCAAGAATGGACTATGGAGGATATTGGAGGAATGTATTTTGATATTTTAGTTAAAAAATCTTTCTTTGATAAGTTTGAAAATAGAGTTTTTGGAGGATACCACTACAAGATGCATGATTTAATACATGAATTGGCACAATCAGTTTCCATGCACGAATGTTTAAGAGTTGAGGATGGTACAAAATTGCCTTCTATAACTCTTCGACACTTGTCTGTTCGAACTACAAATCCAGACATCATAAAGAAGATGGGGCGGTTTAAATATTTGCATTCTCTTTTCTTGTTCTATGAAGCTTCTAATCAGGATCTTTGCAATGAACTTATTGAGATATTCCAAGCATCGAAAAGCCTACGCTTATTATACATATGGGCTCCAAAAGACTTGGAAGGAATACCTGAGGAGATTGGCAATTTGATACATCTTCGATACTTAAACATTGATTGTTATAATTTGACCATGCTGCCAAGATCTCTAAGCAATCTCTATCACTTGCAATACCTTAGGCTAGGATGGCTAAGGCAACCTAAAGTTGATGATTTTTTACCTAGTGACATTAATAACCTTACAAACTTGCGTTACATGAAATTGCGTTGGAATTATATTTCATCGATATGTGGGATTGGGAAGCTAATGTCTCTTCAAGAATTGAATATGTTTGATCTTAGAGATGTGAGTGGTTATAGAATTGGGGAGCTGGAGAATATGAATAGTCTTTGCAAATTAGGAATCAATTGCCTTGAAAATGTTAAGGATGCGGAGGAGGCTTGTAGTGCCAAATTATGTGCAAAGAGGAGGCTCACAGATTTAACCTTATGTTGGAGTAATACTGATTCGAGAAACATCAATTTAGATGAGAAAGTGCTCGACAACCTTCAGCCACCAAAATGTCTAAGGAATATGAGCATAAAGAGATACATGGGTGCAAGGTTTGCAATATGGATGAACAATGTCAATCCGATCTTCAATCTAGAGGAAATCGAATTGACAAATTGCTTGGAGTTGGAAACTCTTCCTCCTTTCGGGCAACTTCCCTTTCTCAAGTCACTGGAACTTAGGAACATGCCGAAAGTAAAATGGCTGGAAAGTAAATTTAATGGGAATGATACATACCGTGCCTTTCCATTGCTAGAGGTGTTACATATTGACAGATTAGAAGCATTAGAGCATTGGTTTGAGGCAGGAGTAGCTGCTGAAGATGGATGTTTGTTTCCTTGTTTAATTCAACTGAAGCTAGATGACTGCCCGAAGTTGAAAGAGTTGCCCTCTTTGCCTTCTAAGCTCAAGAGCTTTAAGATAACTGACAATATTGCGTGGACGACTTTGAAATTTTGTAGCAATTCAAATCCTATTCCCCTTGAAACATTAGAGGTCTTTCGTTGTCCAAACATTACATCTCTTCTTCTGGCTGATGAAATAGCAAGACTTGCAGCACTAAGATCCTTGACAATTACAAAGTGCCCCAATCTGATCTCTCTCGGAGAAATGCAAACCACTAATAATTGCCGTCTCATGCTCAGCGATCTTGAAATAAGTGATACATTGGTGTTGCTAATGGAGCCATTGAGAAGTATTGCCTCCTTAAAAAGGCTTACAATTATGGATAATGATGAGGTGGTTTCATTTCCAAATGAGACGGAGCAGTGGTTTCTGATTGTTAGGTCTTCTCTTTCGGAGCTGAACTTTAGATGGCTCAAATCCTTAGAGTCTCTCCCTTCCTCCTTGGAAAGCTTATCTTCACTTCAGAATCTACGTATTCAGGGCGTTCCAATGCTTCGGGAATTACCGAACCTTCCTACCTCTTTGAAATCTCTATCAGTTGGGGGATGTCATCCAGAGTTAGAAGAGCGCTATCGAGAGGATGGAGGCTCCGATCGGCACAAGATTGCTCACATTGCTCGTATCCGTATTCATCATACCTTATAATAGGTCCAACTACTTTAATGAAATTTTCAAAATAAAAAAGCAAACTTGTTTCTTCTTATCTTATTTGTTTGATATATATGTATATGAAGTGTGAAAAATGCAATGTCTGCATGAACCAGTTTGTTTCACTTGAATTATGTACTCAATGAGTAGATTTCCGATTTTGATCATGTAGAACTGAAATCTTAATATTTCTTTTTTTATTTCTTATTGATTTCTTGAAATGAAACAATTATTGAATTATTGTTTAGTTTTGATTTTATGTTTTTGAATTTGCAAAACAAATGAATTTTGAATGATCAGTCATCTTTAATCCATGAATTTCATTTCTTTTTAGAAATCTCTATTTATAATAAGCCACGAGACTGTCATTAAATTTTTTGCACATTCGTCAACTTTCACATTAATTTTCTTTATTGATTTATTTATTTTTCAGATAATACTATCTTGTTACTACATTTTAATGATGGTGTTGGGAGCTAAAAAGAACTTATATTTCATAAAGTTTTTAAATCTTATTCAAACTTGTTTATATATATAAGTTTTCTTTTTCAAGTTGATGTCAAAAGCGAGATTTAGATTTCGTTTGGGATGGCTTTCTTATTTCTTAAAGTAGTTTTTTAATATAAAATTTTTTATTTTTCTACAAAAAAACTATTTTAAAAAGCAAGTAGAAAGTCATCCCAAACGAAGGCTTAATAAAACTCAACTAATTATATATTTGTTTTTTGTTGCGTCCTAGAGTATTCACATTAGTAGAGAAATATAAAGTTTAGCATCTTAGCGTTGTACGAAGATCTAGCACACTAGCAGATAAGAAAGAGGATGTAACGTTCGTAAGAGACACTAGAGTTTTTACTTAGAAACCCTTGAGAACCTCAGACGTCTGCAAGGTGTGAAACTTCCCCACTTGCTGGCGTTAAAATGAGAATCAAAATAACTCGTTTGGCTTCTTCGATGCTTGCTTTTTCACCGGACCTTGAGAGCTCTCACACACAAAAACTTCATCCTCTTGTTTCAGAAACATCCTTCTTCCCTTCCCTGTTGCGACGCACACATGGCTGAAATCCCCAGGACCCCAACCTTACGACTGCAGCTTCTCTCCCTCTCCCGAACCAAATTTCCAACCAGAAACCTTACCCCTGTTCACACTCAAGCCTTTATTTCCTCTCTGCTTCGTTTCCCCTCAGGCCTCCTTCTGCTTCATATGAACGCCTTGCTTTTTCAAAATATGTTCGATTGGCCCTCATTTTCAACCGATTCCCTCTGCTTTGATAATATCCTGGCGGACTAGTTTATCTCCATGTGCTTTTGTAGTGTTAGTTAGAATTATATGCCACTACACATTTTGTTGCTTTATTTGCTCTCACAGCACATGATTACTTACTAATAGTGTTTAGCCATTTTAGTCCTTCCCTGTGGAAGGTTTATCTTGCCGAGCTCTGTAGAAGAGAGGTAGTTTTTTTATTACAGAAATATAGTTTTTCTATCACAGTAAACCTTGGGGTTACTGTTCCATTGATTTCTCACTGTTTGCTAAGCCTCTACTGCAGGATTCCTACATCAGTATTGGTATCAGAGCTAGATGGCGGAGAGCAACAGGCGGGTGGCTCCCGGGAACGACAACAGCCTTGAAAACCTCTGGGCGGAGCATCGGAGCTTGACGCAGCAGACGCAGGAGTTGGCGTCGGAGGTTCACCACTTCTACGATGAAGTGCGGCAGGAGTTGAAGGAGATTAACCATCGATTGGATCGATTACAGATGGCTCGGACTGGCGGCCCTGCAGCGTTACCGACCATGAGGCGGGGAGGCGAACTGGGTGGACAACGCCAAAGGAGTTCTCAGGTAACCGAAGTTTCTGATTCGGAGGAAGAATTGGATAGGTTCCGTCATTCAGAAGCCTCCGATTTGGAGGAAGACAGGACGATCCCACGGCGGAGGCGACCCAGGGACATAGAACAGACAAACAGCGGGTTCAGAGTTAAACTGGATATACCGTATTTTGACGGTAAATTGCACATTGAAGACTATTTAGATTGGGAAAGATCAGTTGAAACATTCTTTGAGTATATGGAAATTGAGCCCGAGAAACAGGTTAAGTATGTCGCTTGCAGACTTAAAGCAGGAGCAAGTGCTTGGTGGCAACAAGTCCTTCAAACTCGCCGTCAAGAAGGTCGCGGACCAGTACGTCATTGGAGGCGAATGAAACAATTGCTGCGAAGTCATTATTTGCCGACTGATTACGAGCAATTACTATATATGCAATACCAACATTGTACTCAAGGTCACCGATCCGTTAATGAATACACTGAGGAATTTTATCGCTTAAGCGCTCGCAACAACTTGAATGAATCCACCAATCAATTGGTTGCTCGGTATATCGGAGGCTTGAAAGAAGTGATACAGGACAAGCTTGAGTTAAATGCAGTTTGGTCTCTATCTCAAGCTGTCAATTATGCCTTGAAGGTGGAAATGCAATTGCTCCGACATAACCGCAGCCATTCGTATCGAAGGGCGGCAGAACCTACAGTTGAAAGCAACAAAGTCCCTTCTGTGTCCTCACCAGCCAACAAACCACAAAACATGGCTGCTGGATCAGCCAATCCCAATATTGGGGGATATAAAGCAACAGATGGCAAGGCGCCGCAAAGATTCCGAGCACCACCTAAAGAGAACCCATATGCTAAACCTTCAAATATTAAATGTTTTCGCTGTTTTCAGCAAGGTCATAAGTCCAATGAGTGCCCCTCGAGACCACAATTGCAGATGGCAGAAGCTGAGGATGGAGATGAATTAGTAGAATTTGAAGATGAACAAGAAGCTTCATTAGAAGATGTGTCTGGAGATGTGGGGGAACCGCTGATTTGCGTCATGGAGAAATTGCTGTTAGCGCCCAAACAACAGTGTATGTCGCAAAGGAATGCTTTATTCCGGACAAAATGTACTATTGGTGGCAAAATTTGTGACTTATTAGTAGACAGTGGGTGTACTGAAAATGTTGTATCACGAGCAATGGTGCAGGCTCTACAACTTAAAACGACAAAAAATCCAAACCCATATAAGATTAGTTGGGTCAAGAAGGGAGTGGATATGGCTGTGACAGAATTATGCAAGGTGGCTTTCTCTATAGGAAAGCATTATGCAAGTGAAGTTTTATGTGACGTGCTAGACATGGATGTTTGTCACATCATACTGGGAAGACCGTGGAAATACGATGTGGGAGCCATTTATGATTGTCGGGCTAATACTTATGCTTTTGACTGGAAGGGTCGTCGATTGCGGTTACTTCCTAGTAGCCATTGTTCGGAGCCAAGACAAAACAAAGAGAAATCGGCAATGTATGTTGTTTCTGCCTCAGCCTTGTTGAACGCCTGGAAGGAATCCAATGATATATTTACATTAATTGTGAAGGAATCAGCCTCTGTTCTTCCTAATTCAGTGGTACCCGTGGCTATACAACGGATGCTGGATCAATTTGAGGATGTGTGTGCTGTGAATCCTCCGAAAGAGCTGCCACCTATGAGGACTATTCAACACCAAATTGAGTTTTCACCAGGAGCCACATTGCCGAACCTACCGCACTATCGACTCAGTCCTAATGAGAATAAAATACTGCAGCAAATTGTGGATGAGTGGTTAGACAAGCAGCTTATACAACCGAGTTTGAGTCCTTGTACTGTGCCTGCATTATTGGTGCCTAAGAAAGATGGAAGCTGGAGAATGTGTATCGACAGCAGGGCAATTAATTAGATCACAGTTAAATTCAGATTTCCGATGCCTCGAATGGAAGATATGATTGAAAGATTGTCCGGCTCAACAGTATTTTCCAAGTTAGATCTTCGCAGTGGATATCACCAAATTCGAATCAGACCCGGAGATGAATGGAAGACAGCTTTCAAAACAAGGGAAGGTCTTTATGAATGGAAGGTAATGCCATTTGGTTTGTGCAATGCTCCCTCTACTTTTATGAGATTGATGAACGAAGTTTTGAAGCCATTTCTGAATCGATGTTGTGTAGCTTATTTTGATGATATACTAGTTTATAGCACCAACCTTAATGATCATGTACAACACTTGAAAAACATTTTGGAAGCTTTGAGAAAAAACAAACTGTACTTGAATCTTAGTAAATATGAGTTTGCCAGCCAAAGTGTGTTATTTCTGGGCTTTAAAATTTCTGCTGAAGGAGTCTGCACTGATCCGTCCAAGGTGATCGCAATCAAGGAATGGCCAATTCCACAGTCGATTACAGATATTCGAAGCTTTCATGGTTTAGCCAATTTTTACAGACGATTTATAAGAGGGTTTAGCACGATCATGGCGCCAATAACAGATGGGTTAAAATAAAAAACGTTCTCTTGGAATGCGGAACAACAGAGGAGTTTTGATAATATAAAAGCTGCTCTCACCTCAGCACCGGTATTAGCTTTGCCCAACTTTGATAAGCCATTTTTGGTAGAAACTGATGCGTCAACAGTTGGCATTGGCGCCGTGTTAGCGCAAGACAATCGGCCTATTGAATTTTTTAGTGAAAAATTATCTGCTACAAGGCAACGGTGGTCGGTTTATGAACAGGAGCTTTATGCTGTGGTTCGAGCACTGAAACAATGGGAGCACTATTTACTTCAGCAAGATTTCATTCTTTGTAGTGACCACAAAGCCCTACAATACATTAATACACAGAAAAATGTTAATCGGATGCATGCTAGATGGATTATGTTTCTCCAAAAATTTACATTTGTGCTTAAGCACAAAAGCGGGGCTCAAAACAGAGTGGAGGATGCGTTAAGTCGACGAGCAGCTCTAATCACACAACTACAAACTGAATTTGTTGGGCTGGAATGTTTGCAAGACCTTTATCCAGAAGATGCCGACTTCCAAATTATGTGGCATAAGTGTATCAACAGAGAGGCTGCTGAAGATTATTCCATTAGGCATGGATTTCTCTTCAAAGGGAATCTGTTATGCATTCCAAAATCATCGTGGCGACAACAACTTATTAAAGAGGTTCATAGTGGTGGACTGTCAGCTCATGCGGGCCGGGATAACACTCTTGCACAACTACAGATGAGATTTTTTTGGCCTCATATGAGGAGGGATGTGGTCCGATTCGTTGAAATATGTTCTGTTTGTCAACATTATAAAGGCGGCGGGCAAACTACTGGCTTATACATGCCATTACCGGTGCCGGAGTCCATATGGGAAGATCTTAGCCTTGATTTTGTATTGGGTCTACCACGCACTCGCCGCGGGAACGATTCTATTATGGTGGTGGTGGACCGGTTTTCCAAAATGGCGCACTTCGTGGCTTGTAAGAAAACTTTCGACGCATTGAATATTGCTAAATTATTTTTTCGTGAAATTGTCAGATTACATGGCATTCCACGATCACTGATGTCGAACCGTGATGTTAAGTTCATAAGCCACTTCTGGCGGGAATTATGGAAACGCATGAACACTCAACTCCAGCTCAGCTCTTCTTACCACCCGCAGACAGACGGCCAGACAGAAGTAGTGAACCGGACGTTGGGAAATTTACTCCGCTGTTTGGTGCAGGAAAATTCCAAAGCTTGGGATGAAGTGCTCGGGCAAGCAGAATTCCCATTCAATTCTATCCCAAATCGATCAACCGGTAGGTGCCCGTTTAGCATTGTTTACACTAAACTACCAAATACCGTTGTTGATGTTGCAGTTATACCACAATGCACCAACAAGGCAGCTGCTACGTTAGCTGAGCAATTCTCGGAAATGCTAGCTAAGGTCCGCTTGAAATTGTTAGACTCCAATCAAGTATACAAACAGCAAGCCGATCTTCATCGCAGGGAACGAGTTTTCAACCCAGGCAATTTGGTTTTAATCAGGCTGAGGAAAGAACGTTGGCCACAGGGAGAGTATTCCAAACTCAACAAACGCAAGTTTGGGCCATTTAAAGTTGTGCAACGAATCAATAACAACGTCTATGTTATTGATTTACCTGCTGAGTTCCATACTTCACACACTTTCAATATTGCAGACATATATCCTTACTTCCCACCGGAGGACAACAATGCTAATGTTGTTTCAGGAGAAAGCAACTTTCTTGTGGAAGGAGCGAATGATGCGGAGCACAGTAACTCTAATATCCTGGCGGAGTAGTTTATCTCCATGTGCTTTTGTAGTGTTAGTTAGAATTATATGCCACTACACATTTTGTTGCTTTATTTGCTCTCACAGCACATGATTACTTACTAATAGTGTTTAGCCGTTTTAGTCCTTCCCTGTGGAAGGTTTATCTTGCCGAGCTCTGTAGAAGAGAGGTAGTTTTTTTATTACAGAAATATAGTTTTTCTATCACAGTAAAACTTGGGGTTACTGTTCCATTGATTTCTCACTGTTTGCTAAGCCTCTACTGCAGGATTCCTACATCAGTTTCCTTATCACATAAGAGCCTCAACACTTTCCATATGCCTAGAACACCATCCTGGTAACTCACTCTCTCCCTGAGCGATCATTCCATTAAAGCTCTCTTTGCTCAACTAGAGAAAAGTGCATATTCATGAGACTGTCAGCTCATCTTGCAATGATCATTCCACCTTATGCCTCTTCCTTCCTCAGAACATCTCACTTGGTCACACTCTTTTATGCAATCCAAGATCTCTTATATAAATCACCAACAATGTTAGCCAACCTATTGGTTGTAAGTCCTCCATCCTAGCACATGTCCATAGATTCGTCATAGTCTCCTAGACAATTCAACACTATGAAGCTCACCTAGAGACTACTCACTGAAGTCCGTCAAATCTCGCCCTATTTAATTAAATTAGAGGATAATATTTGTTTATGATAGTCTCTATAATGTTGTATCCGTCAAAACCCTATAAAAATGGGTATTGTGGAGCGATTTTGATCTTCTAGACTGATTCTGATGAAATTTATGCTAGTTTGAGATTTATAGCTTTCTTGAGTTTTATATATATTTTCTCTAGCTCTCTACTTCCTTCTCATCTTCTCTCCATTCTCTCATAGATTCCTCAATCATCTACTCATAAAATGAGTCTGCTAATAAAATCAAGTGTCACCGACAGATAAAATTTGATCAAATACTAATAGTCATGGCAAGTAAATAAAATATTTGGCCGCAAATTTACAATTTAAATTATTGTTGCAAAATAGTTACAATTTCTTAAGACTACATTCAGATAAATATGGCCTCACAAAATTGACACGTCTACCCTCCTATGACTTAAATTTCCTAAGAAATATGACAATTTTCAGAAAATCTTGTGACAACTTATTTAATCATGGCAATATAGCAATATAAATTTGCGAACAAATTTTTTTTAATGGACAATTCGTGACGCATAATTCATAAAAACTTCCAAGAAAATTGCTGATACTCACTCATCAATCAAAGAGCTCAAAAAGACGTTCAATCAAGCTTTTCTATGTAAATTATAGCAATTCTTTTATCACTAATAAATTTGTATGCAACAGAAAAATAAATTAACGTTAGTAGTGTATAAAAATAATCATTACTAAGAATTATAAGAATTTCGACAAAATATTACAAAATAACGTTTTTTCATTCAAAAAATAAAAATCCTTCAAAAACATAGCATCAGTTCGCATATCCTTTATTAAAATCCAGCAAATATAATCTATAATAGCATGATGAACAGGGTGAATTACTGAAAGGATTTAGTCCTAAATCTCCCAGTAAGTCACCGTAATTCATCTAATAGAAATAATAATCATAGTAGAAAACACTTCAGGCTTTAGTACATAGTGACTACACGACAAGTGTTATGAATTGCAACAAATGAATGAGCTCCGGCGATCTCACCAACCAATTCCTTTAAACTATAGGTGTGGGCGCCCAGTCTTTAAAACTTGTAATTTTTACTTGCGTGATTTTCCATATCTTCCAATACTGACTCCGTATTCAATGTAGTAATTGCTGTCTATCTACAATCACGCGGAAAGCCACCGACTTGCGCCTTAGCCAACGTTTCATGCACCAGAAGCGACTGCGACGACGCCAACCGCCGGCCGGAATGCGGAGAAGTCATCGCGGCGGCGGACGTTGACATGGAGACCGTACTTCATGAACAAGGTGAGCGACATCTTCTGCTCGACGCGGTGGCCTGGGACTAGTGCAATACGGTAGCGAAGGAGTACGCCTGCAGCGATGGATTTCATCTGAAGGTAGGCGAGGTCTTTGCCTAGGCAGACGCGGGGACCGGCGTTGAAAGCGACGAACTTGAAGAAATCAGCTGGCGGTTCGAACCGGCTGCCGTCGTTGGAAAGCCAGCGTTCCGGGCGGAATTCCAGGCAGTCATCGCCCCATATCGACTTCAGCCGTCCGGTAGAGTAGATGGAGTAGGTGATGGCGGAGCCCGCTGGAACGAATGTGTTGTCAGGGAGCACGTCGTCGGCGATGACGTGCTTCGAGTCCTCTGGAACGGAAGGGTACAGTCTCAGTGTCTCGGAAAGTGCAGCCTTGAGGTACACAAGGCGCTCAAGCTCCTCGAAAGCAAGCGGGGAGTCGATCCAGGCTTTGTAATCGTTAGAGCCGCGGGTGTCGGAGAGGACAGAGTAGAGCTCGGAGATTATCGCCTGCTCGGCAGCAGGGTGGGTAGAGACGAGCCAGAAGAACCATGAAAGCGCGACGGAGGAAGTATCGCGGCCTGCGAGGATGAAGTTTAGGGCGACGTGCTGGAGAAAGTCGTCTGTGTAAGACCCCTTGCGCATGAAGCGGGAGAGAAGATCGTCGTGGCCGGAGTTCAGCTCGAGCTTTCGGGCTTTAATGACGGAGGAAAGGTAGCGGTCAACGTGGGCTACAGATTGGGACAGAGTTCCCTCCATGCCAAGGCGCAGCCATTTCTTGAACCGCCACAGCACTTCCGGAAAAATGAAACGCTGCAGACTAGCCTCCGTGGCGCGGTCGAAGGCCGTGGCGAAATCGTTCAGCGGTAGCCCGGGGGCTAAAGTCTCCGGGTCGCGGCCGAATGCAAGGCCACAGATGTTGTCGAAGGTGAGGCGGAGGAGGAGGTCCTGCAGGTCGACGGCGGAAGCTTCGGCTACAGCAGTGTCGAGTATAGGAAGCAGCCTCTGTTGGATGGAGCGGGAGACCCACCGTGACATGGCCGTCCGAAGCGTGCGGGTGGTGAACTCGAGAGCGGCGGTCTTACGCTGGAGGAGCCAGGTGTCGCCGTCGGTGTTGAATATTCCATCTCCGAGCAGGTCATGGAAGACAGCGTGCCATGTGGGGCCTTTGGGGTAGTTGTCAAAGCGGGTCTTCAGGATATGTTCAAGGTTTCGTGGGTCGCATGTAACGGTGACGAGACCCTGCCGCCGGGCGAGGAGCGGCACGGCGCAGATGCAAGTCTGGTACGTCCCTCCAGTTCGTCGGAGGTTGTCGGCGATCCACTCGTGCATGCGCTCGGCGTTGCGGACGAGGCCGGGCAGGCTCCCAACAAGTGGCCAAACGCGCGGCCCTCGCATCCCGGCCGCCATGCGCAAGAACCAGATCATGTACGCGGCCGCACACGCCGCCGCGGCAGCCAACCACATTGCCGCCTCCATTCCAACCTAGTCTCCCACCCCTGCACGCCGGGATCGATCTCTCTTCCCCCAACTAACAATAGCTCAAGAGCGGGATAGAATAATGTGGTGGTGAGCTATAGATATCTATGCTAATACGTTTATAAAGAGGGCGCGCGGTGGTGGTGGAGGGCAGGGGAATTTAATGCGCCAGACTGGTATCTTTCTCCTCACCAGCTACCAGCACTCACTCCTCTCTCTCTCTCTCCTCAGTTTATTTTCTTCTCCTCAAAAATGCGAACTTCACGCCACTCCTTTCCTCTAATGTCTACGCCTCTCATAACTCGCTCTTTAAATGCCGTCAGGAGTCGTTGGGATCAAAGTTAACACCATGGGGAAAAGCTATTAATGTGCTGACGCCACGTCGGAGCTATAAGCTTCAGCTGCGCTGTTTCTCCAAGCTCGAACCTGGTTCAGATATAAACGCTCCAAATCAAATAGAGAGATGTTATAGACTCTAGAGATAGAAAGAGAAAATGAGACTAGAGATAGAAAGGGAAAATGAGGAGAGATAAGCAGTTATATACAATTAGCTCCATGTTCAACGGAGAGAAATCAATACTGATATAGATGGAAGGAAGGATCGGATGGTTATCGCCAACAGATTTCCTTATGTTAGATATCCAACCATAATATTTTTATAATTTTTATGGTAAATTTGATTAGAAAAAAAATATATATTTTACTCTTTGGATTGGGAAGAGTGAGAGCAGCAAGGATGTTTCGGCTTTGGTCGTTTGGTGTTGGGTGACCGACCCCACCGGCGAGATTGGGAAAGCCCCGAACGCTAATAAACGGGTAGTTCATGGTACGATCCTTCAGGGATGGTTGGGGAACGCGTGTCACTGTAAAATGTTTAACGGCCACTACGGGTTCTATATCATTGAAAAGTGTGTAGAGCCTTGTACGGGATCCGGTTCATAGTTTCCTTAATCTTTTTTATTCAATTAACGCAATGGTTATGTTATTGGTGGATTATGTTGTGAGAATTAGCCATAGCGGTCTTAACTACCAACGAAAAAAGTTGATATTTAGAGATGGCCTAACGACGCCAACTCTTTGCCCGCCGTGTTCTTTGACGATTTCTCGTCTACTTAATAGTTTCAAGGATTTAGTATAATGGAACTCTGATTATTATTCAAATTTATTGTATAATATTTTTTAATGAAAAATTTTAATTAGTCAGCTGCTTTATTATGTAAGACATGACAAAAATTTATATAAATAAAATATGATGTAAGCGACAGTATAATTTTTAGTAAAAATCCAAAAAAGGACATGTCATAGAACTTGACATAATTGAAATTAAATCTCTACTGTTTGTACGTTGATTATAAACGATGTTCTTCGTCATAATTTAAGCATAGACAAAAACATCCTAGTGGACAAAAATATATTCCTTGGTAAAAGTTTGAAGAGCATTAAGGTATTGGACATATCTTCAAGAGGTCATTTGTAGTGCTAGGGTAAACTAGAAACTATGAAGCCTAGTATACAACTTGCTATTGACAGCATACGTTAAAATAAGTATCAATGATGTGCATCATTACAGGAAAAACATCATTTTCCGGCTGCCATTTCCGTCGGAAAAATGGTCAAAATTCGTAGCATTTCCGGCGGAAATGTTGTCGCCGGAAAAACGCGAGTCGCAAAACGCCTTCCGACGCAAAATAATGCGCCGGAAACATTTCCGACGTATTTCAGGCTAATTTTCCTCTGGAAAAATATTTCAGACGGATTTTTTTTTTTTTTTTTTTTTTGCGCCGGAAGCTTAAGGAAAATTTAAAATTTTTTGAAAAAAACAAATACAACTTAATTCTACTTGACGCTGGTCCGCACCTCTCATTCCCGCTCCACCCCCAGTCCAGTAGCCCGCATAGAGCCTCAGCCTGCACGGATTTCTTGACCAGCCCGAGCCCGCATAGCCCTCGCGGACAGCCCGCACTAATATGGCTTCGGCGGGGTTCAAACCCCACCTCTCTGTGAAAAAATTGGAGGATCATGGTCAAACAATGGTGATAGAAAATCTTAATCGGGCAAAAAAGATCAGCGGATCCTAGTTGAGTGATTGTAGTCGAAGATTAGTGGTCATGAGATGGTGGTCGCAAGATCAAAGTTGGGTTATGGGGCTCAAAGGATTGTAAATAGATAGTAATGATCAAAAGATTATAGTTGGAAACACTGACTGTAGGGTCATAGAAGAGTAATCTTGGTCATAGGATTATAGTCAATAGAAAGTCATTGGAGAGTCATCGTTTAGTGACAATGATCAAAGAATTATATTTTAGCCATGTTGGTTAAAGAACGATAATCAGTTTATGATGGTTAGAAGACCACAGTTGGACAACAGTATTCAGTGGACCTAATCGAACGACGTTGGTTAGAGAACCATCGCCAGGTGATGTTGGGTAGAGGACTATAGTCGAGCAACCATAAAGGGGTTTGAAGGGTCTTATTTCAGCAATAATGGTGAGAGCATCATGGTTAATAATTGTATTTGGGCGACTATATATAGTGAAGTGATGGTCTACGGATTATAGTCGACTGACAATGGTTAAGAGGGTAGTAGTTGAATGATTGTAAGGATTGTGGTCACATAGATGGTTGGAGGATATTGTATTTTGAGAGTTATAATGAAGTGAAGATGGCTTTAAAATCATATTTGGGTGACAATATTTGTAGGATCATAGTTGGGCAATAATGGCCATATAACAAAGGCATGATGATAGTATCTCAAGGGCTATATTCATGTGACAATGGTTATAAGAACATAACAAGATAACAATGGTTAGAAGATCATAATCAATTTATATTGGTTAAATGATTATAGTCGGGCGATAGTGGTTAGAGTATCACATTTTGGTGAAGATGGTTGTAAGATATTTGTCAAGAAATGATGGGTGGAGGATTGTAGTAAAGAGATAGTGATTAGAAGAGTATGGTTAGGAAATGGTGGTTTGAAGATTGAAGCAAAGATATTGAAAAGACTTAGATTAAAATTTTTTAAAATTGCTTGAAATTTGGTATGGAAGCTTGAGTAGGATATAAATTTTGAAAATTGAGTTCAAAATATTAATAATATTCTCAAGAACACTAAAAATGTTAGAATTGGATATTCTAGGCCATAAAAAAAGGGCCTTGACGTGCAGCTATCCAAAATGTATACCTACAAATAATCATTTCCCTTAATGGCCCACACCCAAAAAAAAAAAAAAAACCACATGCAGTCATGTTTAGCTTCACGATATTTTGCGAGTTCTAGGAGTAAACGTACAAAGCCATCTTAAGCACTATTTTTTTGTTATTCATGTGTATGCACTATATGCTCTTTGCATGATTTTTTTAAATTTTGATTGTTTACTTGCATTAGCTATTAAAATAAGGAAAAAAATGATTCTTAGATCTAAGAGATGGAGATATTTAATAAATTTTATATTTTTTCTAATTTTTTTTATCTTCTGAAACTATGAATGCCCGCTTAGGACTAAGAGAAAGGCATGATTGTTTTACGCCGGCTCTATTTTTTTTCATAAATGGTACTAATATTATTCAGAAGGATATTAAAGGTCATCAAAGGAAAATAAAGCTCATAACTTGTTTGGAATGGTTCTAATCTTATTTAAAAGAAAAATGTCTTAAATATCCTTGTTAGATTGATCATTCTTGGAGGGTGTCAAGGCTCTAGTTCCTATGGTGAGGCTCTAATCTTTGATTAAAAAAGGTCTCAATTTACCTCATCAAATAGGTTAAGTTTTGAGGGGTGAAGGCCACAATCTCTAAGGAAAGGCTTTGATCTAGGGGCAAAACAAGCCTTATATTTGAAAAGAATAAAATTAGGACATAATTCGAAACAAAATCTTCGATTTCATCATGATAGAAGATTTGAAAATTATTATAAGCTTATTAATCTATTTTATATTTGTTGATAATGTTGAATTATAACTTTATTGGAAATCAAATCAAACATATATTTTTCAATATGAGGCACCAAACAGTCATTGAGCTAATCATCATCCATCCTACTATGCAATCGATGTTTGAATTTTCATTGTAGAGAATACTCTCTTCACCATATCAATAGTTTTTGGTAAAGTAAATTCTAAAGTAATAAATCTATAAACCAGATGATACACACCATCTTTCTTAACTTTAATATTTTGCTTTACAATATCATGAATACTGCTTAGAGAGAAGAACTCAACACTAGTATGCATATCATTGATATAAGTTGATAATAAACTTTTAAGAGCCACAAGTTCAATTGTAGAAAAATCACTTAGATATAACTCTGCTAGACGTATCAACTTCTTCGCATCACAAGAAAGGAAGGAATCACTTGGGTTTTAGCATGCTACTCAAACAAGCAACTCAATACTTGATTCAAAAAGTGATTATTTAGCTCTTGTTATTATATGTCAACAACATTATAGAATAACTCGACATAATAATGATGTAAGTTTCCTGTTTCTTCACCTCTTTACACTGATCAACGAGGTGTTTTGTATGCACCATTCATATTTAAAATATATTCTTAAAAATGATATAAAAGCATGTCACTTCATCAAGTAAAACACTCCATCCATTCTCCCTTAGTATCTATAGTTGTTATTTAGATACTTACACCAACTTCATTGCATTTTCAATGTCCCAATATTTTCTTTATAATCATCAAAATACTAATCATTAGTTGCATTATAAAAATAAAATAAAAAAACAACATTACATCAATCAAAAGACATGCTTCAACCAATTATTGATCATGTATTACTTTCTCCTTAACAATCTCAAGCACTTCATGTATATAAGCATAAATTATCATGAGACTAATTAAAGTATGAAAATGTGGACTCCATCAAATATCACCACATATTTATAAATTAGCCTATTGATTTAAACCTCAAGCACTTATTAGATTGCTAGCTTTAAGATATATAATTATCCTATCATGTTGAATGGCTTTAAGAACATTTGATCTATCACACGAAGCCTCAACAATATTTATAATTCTAAAATAAAACTCATTCACTTGCCAATGATTCTTCGCTATTTCAACCAAGCATAATTGGAGTTTATGAGAAACGCAATGAACATAAAAACTTAAGGATTGTCGTTAAGGATACATGACTTCAAATAGTAAAAATCACCTCATATATTGGATGCCCCATTATAACCTTGACCACGTACCCTATGCAAGCTCATGAATACTTAACAAGCAATACTTTAATAGCTTCTTTATGTGTTACTACATTAGTTCAAGAAATATGTTTGATACCAATAAGCATTTCAATAACTTGTCTTTTCTTATCCACATATCTCACAACCACTTCCAACTACTCTTTGGTTGACATATCATGAGTCTCATCTCCAAGAATAGCAAAGTAAGAATTGTCATTACACAACAAATTTTTTATAAACATTAATTTGGTGAAATCAACTTCGATCTTGCACTAGCATTTTCAAAAGAAATCATATTGATTTCTTCATTTTAATGAGAAAAAAATTGAAATAACTCTAGAAAATTGCCTTTATTATCCGTATCA